AGGCTACCGGACTCGTAATTGTGAGGTTGTGGGGTCGGGGGTTCGAGCCGCGGGCCCGAAGTTGTGTCCTTGGGAAAGGCACTTTGCACGAATTTACCTCACTTCACCCAAGTGGGAATGGGTACCCGGCTATAGACAGTGAAAGATCTTGTCTGTATGTTAGTGTTAGTGTTTTAGCTCCTATAAATGGCTGCTTGCACTGGATGCTTCCCATGAAGTTGAGATTGTTTCAGAATGCTCTCAGGCCTGCTGGGGGTAATAGTATAGATTATGAAGCTTGCTGTTGAGCGGGGATTTACGCTATACAAATGCTATCTATTTTTAGTCGTGTGGTCATCTACATACTCAGTACAGTCATCTTTCTGCGGATGAGATGGGGTGGTGAGCGGAAAGTCTGGTTTGATTTGTCCGTTTGTGTATTTGTTTGTGTATATGAATGCTTATGTGTAAGTGTATGTATGTATGTATGTATGTATATCTCTATCTATCTATCGACCTACCTAACAACTACCTACCTACCTGCCTATCTATCCCTTTGGGGTGGTGAGTGGTTTGGTTTGTTTGTTTGTGTGTTTTACTTGTTTGTTTGGTTGGTTGTATGAGTGTTTGTGTGTATGAGTATGTGCTTATCTATCTTATTTTTCCATCCATTTATCCATCCACCCATTCACCCATCCATCCATCCATTCTTTCTCTTAACTCCCACCCACCCCCCTTCCCCATCCCACCCCACCGAACCCCACCGGTCTGCTCAGCCAGTTAGTAATCTTAACCAGCTTAAAGAGGCGCGTAAAAACCCGTGAAAAAAGCCTGTCGTCCTGTTTAGGCTAGTGTATGTTTGTCGTGAGGTACAGCTTGGACTATCGACCCTCTCACCATCTGTGTCGCCGCTGGCTAATTGACAAAGACTCCGATTTGGCAGGCCTGTGCCGGCCGTCAATACCGCGCTATGTTCATCCCGTTAAAGGGGATTAAAAAGTCGCTGCCGCTCTCGCGAGTTTGGGTGGAGAGCAGAGAGAGAGAGGGGGGGGAGTGAGAGGGAG